TTTCACTACAGAGAGGGGGTGTTTAAGATTAATTTTCATAAGTTTACTCAGACCTTAGTATTGTCTGGTTTGTTTACAGGCTGGCGTCGCATGGCGGGAGTACTGCTGTGCTGCGTCAGGCAATAAATACTTGCTTTTTTATGCAAATTGTATGAATGGCGGGTGCTACCGGTATGGCAGGACATGCTTACTCCTTTCGCGAACACCTGGTGTCATCACTGATTTTCAGTGGTCCATTTATATAATTTCCACAGCTATTTGCTCATTTACGCAAAGTGGGCGGTCGGGTAGCCTAGTGGTTAAAGCGTTCGCTCGTCACGCCGAGGATCCGGGTTCGATTCCCGACATTGGTACAATATGTGAAGCCCATTTCTGGTGTCCCCCGCCGTGATATTGCTGGAATATTGCTAAAAGCGGCGTAAAACCATACTCACTCACTCACTCATTTACGCAAAGTAGAATTTGTTTCGGCAGAAAATCTAGGCTGATTATTCTCTTGTATTGACAATGTATTGTTTTGTGGCATTTAATGCGATATTAGTTATCAGTGTTGGAGCTAAAAACATATATCAAAATGAATTTTTGAAATTTGTTAGCTGGTACACATAAAGTATTGTGGTTCATTTGAGCCAAACGAAGATAATTTCGTGATATTTCTCTATTTTTGCTGAGTAAAGCCTGAAGTAAAAGATCCACCCCGAGTCACAAAAAGAGTAGAAATGACATTGAAGTCAGTTGTTAGGAAAAGTACATCAACATAAATATAAAACGTCAACACCAGAGATTAACCAGTCTCGAGTACCCGACGATAAAGATTCCATTTGACGTGACAGGCAAAAACAACGGTGAGATTTATATGAATTGATCACTTAAAATCAGTGATGTCAACAGGTGTTCGCGAAAAGGGTTGGGATACGATGACATGCATCAACCAAGTCGGCGAACCTGACCACCTGATTCCGTTAGTCGCCTCTTACGGCAATCATAGTCGCCTTGGATTGCTATTCTGACCCGGATCTTCACGGGTCCACAAACTTACAAAGTCGTAGTGTTACGATCGCTTTGTTGAAGTGGGCCTAGGACAGAGACGTCTTAGGCCTGGTCACTGTGAAGCTTTAAATTAACAAGACATGAGTAAATTAAGCAAACGGCAATGACATCTTAAGGAAATAACAATTCCTAAAACCTAATGTTAAAATCACTTCATTGGTACACTGTGATAGACCGTGCGTGTATTTCAGGCTGCGCTGGGTGGTTCTTCGCAAGGTGGTAGTAAGACTTCACTGGTATTACGCTTCACAGCATGAGACTAGTCAATGAGAAAATCCAGTTTCTCGTTCCTTGCCTTGTAATGAAATGGAATTTATTTCCGACTCCATAGGGCTTTACGTCTGGCACTGGTAAGACATATCGACGCAAGGTCCATCGACTTCGAGGTTCATGCTCGAAGCTGTTTCTAGCACATTGTGTTCTCTGATTGCTCCACGGTGTGGGTAGCCTGGTGGTTAAAGCGTTCCCACGCCACGCCGACGACCCGGGTTTGATTCCCCAGATTTGTAATGTGGGAAGCCGATTTCTTGTGTCCCCCGCCCTGATATTGCTGAAATATTGCTACAAGCGGCGTTAAACCATTCTAACTCACAACATCAGCTGTTTACCAGCTATTACTAGTATCGGTGACCCGTGAAGATCCGGGGTAGAATAGGTCTTCAGCAACCCATGCTTGCCGTAAAAGGCGACTATGCTTGTCGTAAAAGGCGACTAACGGGATCGGGTGGTCAGGCTCGCTGACTTGGTTGATGCATGTCATCGATCCATATTGCGTGGATCGATGTTCATGATGTAAATCACTGGATTGTCTGGTCCAGACTCGATTATTTACAGACCGCCGTCATATAGCTGGAATTTTGCTAAGTGCGGCGTAAACCAAACCAAACCAAACCAAAACTAGTAGCGGTAGTTATTTGCACTGGGGTCGGCAATGGAGCTCTTCTATAAATTCACAACGCTTCCTTATAAGGCATTCAGATAATTCCTGCCTTGCGGTTTTTAAAATAATGGTGTTTACAGAACGCTCTACATCAGTCGATGGAGCAAACATCCGCTCGTCAGAGTTGTGTTTGTTTGGGTGTTCGTCTGTTTTCTGATATTTGTTTTTATATTGTTTGACATGTTTGTTTTAGTGATTGTTCAGGCTTTGTTTGTTGTGTGGCGTTGGAACAGGTGATGGAAATGGGGAGGGTACAAGAAGGAGTTTCATTCTACGCGTATGTAATTTGGATATATTCATTTTGGCAATTGTGTTACTCTCGGGGTGCTATGAAGCACAGTCAACAATAGAATAAAATAAAAGCGACAATATTCTTTCAATATTCATAATAAATCTCTGTAAATTGAACAATTTTATCATATATATATCTATATCTATATCATATCATGAGGTGAGGCGATTTGGAGTTTAATGTCGCATTCAAGGTTATTGTACTTATGTAGCGACATGCATTCATGAGCGTGTGTGTGTGGCTGTGTGACTACTGAACACATGTGTTTATGAATTATGAATAAATTGGGATGATACCAGGTACTCGCGAAAAGGTGAGCGTATCCTGCCCCTCTGCTTACATCCGTCACAAACGCACGCAAGTCAAGTCAATGGAAGGCATTTCATTTTGTGAAAAAGGATTGGAACTACTACGGCTAGTATCTGTAAAGAAAACATCGATATATGTCATTTGGATATCATAGAAGTCTCTCATAGGCTTTTAATGGTGTCCAGGGATAGGCGTCTGTTTGTAATGCAGGAAGACTTTAATCTTTTTATTACATGGCGTGGTAACATTCCAAGGCATTTTCCCACTTAAAAGGGTTTCTCAGACGCAATTACGGCCTCAGTAGGTTCAGTACGTTCACGCGTGGGAGCCTGTACCTCCTTATACGTCAACAGCAATGACGGTAAAACAACGCCGTCGAGTGCACCACGAGGTGGACAGAGGGCCCACTTACTTAACCATTACACACCTTACACGAGACTCTGCGGTACTAATGTTATTAGTTTTAATTTCCACAAAAGCAATCAGTGACATGTCAGAAATGACACCACGTGAGATGTGCTTAAAATAAGGTCATTTACTAAGGACATTACCTCAAGATATTCTGGCGGTGATTTTTTATATATGCAACAACGCCAGCGTACAAATGAAAATGAACAAAATAAATGCCTTTTATGTTTTAGCATGTGAATACCTGCTGTGAAAATACAAATATTTATTCACAGATTCCTAAGCGTCCTTTATGAAACCGATGTTTCTCATTTTGAGTTGAGCATTATCAGCTTACTGCAATATTTATGTTTCATTTGTGTGTGATACTCAAGGCATGAAACATTGTGAGGCCCAAACAAAGATAATGTCTACCATGTGGTTCCACAAACCTCATCACGTCGTATATGGCTGTACCAGGATCTGCTGACCACGGGTTCGAATCCTAGACCCTTAATCGCACAACCCCAGGCCAGTGCTCGTTACTTTCACAACGGTGATACATATAAGTCTCTTTGGACTTCCTTCCACATTAAACTGACAACCGTGATATAAGTAACTAATGTTTAAAGCAGCGTTAAATCCAATGAAAAAACGTGTTGACTGTCGAGGCAGGTCCGACTCAGTGGCGCAGTGTCGTCTCCCCATGCTGCGATCACGTTTTTATGCCAATATGCCAGAAAAGAAATGTGACGTTAATTTTTTAACTCCGTCATTCGTGATATTTTCCCTAATAATAAGTGACTTATGTCATGTCTGATGTATGTCAAAGTATGTGTTGCTGGCTTTCATGTATGTTTTAACAACTTTGCATGGCGGTAGTGTTAATTCTGGCCCTGTTTAAACCTGTATGGTTCGTGTCATGAGTGACTTTGGGGCAGAACAGAGATGGCGAGACATAATGTAGCTTTAAAGCGACAAAACCCTTTCCATATCCAATAGAGTCGATTGTACAATTCCGACTATACCATGAGCATGTGTTTATGAATCAATATCATATAGTGATGGTACCAGGTGTTCGCGGAAAGGTGGCCGAATCCTGCCCCACTGGTGGTACCCGTCACAAACACATGCAAAGGCAAGTCAAGTGTAATGTAAATGTAAACACCAAAGGTATACGAACTGATAGAAAAATAAATTACATCTAATACGCAAATTGAATAAAAGTGAAGATGAATTTCACTTTTTTCTTGAATGTTCAAAATATTCAGGTCAATTGGAATACTGCTGAGTTTTATGATCAGTTAAACTAAGAAATAGCAAGCCAGTTTTACATTTCTCTTCATAAAGTATGTGCATGACCAGGTGTAATAAATAACTTACACTCAGCTTGGGAGAGACACATTAGATATATTACCGCGCACACTTTCCTCAGGGACAAACGTAAAGAGGGAGAAGAACGAACGTTCCAAAATATTTTTCTGCTTATTGCGGTATTTGCGCTGCTGTCTCGAATTCCAAGAGTCGTCAGTTATCTTATCTATTATTGATAGATGCTCTTTAAGAAGTAAGAACAAGTAGAAGATCCGCTTACATTGACATATGATGACACTGGGATCTCACAGGGCTGGGTATGGTTGTACTTCCACAGCAGCTGCTTCGATAAATAATCAGCTGGAAAGGAAAACCGTCCATAGTCTTATGACGTGTTCTGTGTATAAAAGTGTGCCTTGGCAGGGAGATAAATCCACAGTCTGTATTACGTTTGTTGTGCTTTTAATTCTACTTTACAATGTCGGTTAAAATGATTCACAAGGGATGATTGATACGTTCTGAGACTCACATAGAAATACTGCACCTAAGGACATTAACATTATACATTTTTCAATATTAACCCCTCCTCCAGGTTGATACACTTTTCCCAACGCTGTTGGATGGGTTTTATCCAAGATTTATCCAATGTTCTCCACTCTCTTTGGAGTCGTACTGTCCGTAATGTTCTTCACTCTCGTTGGAGTCGTACTATCCGTAATGTTCTTCACTCTCGTTGGAGTCGTACTGTCCGTAATGTTCTTCACTCTCGTTGGAGTCGTACTGTCCGTAATGTTCTTCACTCTCGTTGGAGTCGTACTGTCCGTAATGTTCTTCACTCTCGTTGGAGTCGTACTATCCGTAATGTTCTTCACTCTCGTTGGAGTCGTACTGTCCGTAATGTTCTTCACTCTCGTTGGAGTCGTACTGTCCGTAATGTTCTTCACTCTCGTTGGAGTCGTAGAGCTATTGTTATGCTTGGGAACGGTAGGAACAAAGCGACAGAACCCTTTCCATATCCAATAGAAATATCTGCATAAAGCAGAGACCAGTGTACAATTCCGACTATAGCATGAGCATGTGTTAGTGAGTCACTATCAAATAGTCATGATACCAGGTGTTCGCGAAAAGGTGAGCACTGTCACAAATACATGCAAAGGCAGGATATCTGACAGAAACAGATCAGGAAAATAAGGTTGGTGCTGAAAATGCAGGCTAGACTCCGAGATAAGCGGCCTTAAACCCGACTCACTCACTCACTCACTCACTCACTCACTCACTCACCTTTTATTCCCATCTATAAGTATTAACATTCCTTGTGTTCATTATTAACTATTGATATTACCTCAGAATTGTTCTTCCTTCTCTCATGAACTGTGTAGCGGGAACCAGAAAGAGTTCTATGGTCATCGTCTTACGTTGCTATTTTTCAGATGAAGTTTTGTTTGTTAGTTCGTTTGTTGTTTAACGCCACACTCAGCAATATTCCAGCTATATGACGGCCGTCTGTAAATATTCGAGTCTGGACCAGGCAATGCAGTGATTGATATCATTAGCATCGATCCACGCAATTGGGATACGATGAAATTTATCAACCAAGTGACCCGATCCCGCTAGCCGCCTCTTTCGACAAGCACAGTCGCCTTTTACGGCAAGCTTGGGACCTATTACCCCGGATCTTCACGTTTTTTTTAGATGAAATGGAATTGCATCACTATACCTAGAAGGCCCTTTACACGGAGAAACTGGAGTCGGGTTGCATCCGAGTGATATACGGTCAATAGGCATTTCATCAAGAGTGCAAACAGAAGAACGTTTAGTTTCAATGAAACACTCTGAAAGACGGCAAATGATCGGAGCTTCTCCATTTCAGTTCTCAGGTCTTAGTGGAAGCATGTTGTATTTCAAGATTGCCCCGAAAGCCTACAGAAAGCACAGTCATTAATATTTATTAACGAACACACCAAAACCACCTGAATCAATAAACGCTCTCTCAAACTCAAATGAAGGTTGTATTCATTAAAATGGCAGTAAACAGAACATTTCTTGCCTTTAATGCTGTCTGACGGCAAAGTGATCTTAAAGTTGCATGGATTTGCTTGCTTTTCGAAATTGAGTTTTGGGAAGAACTATATTAGATGATCTTTATCGACGTTTTGTATTTTGTCAACTGCACTTTTGTTGATAATGGTTCGCTCGTCACGCCGAAGCCTCGGGTTCGATTCCCGAAATGGGTTCTATGTGTGAAGCCAATTTCTGGTGTCCCCCGCCGTGATATTCCTGGAATATTGCTAAAAATATACACCGTCAACGCCTGCCCCGGTTATCCACCAAACAGATTCAATTGCAGGAGGTTCCCTCAATAATCTCCATCAGAAGAGCATATACATCCTCTTCAAATTCATCGAGTAACTCCCCGTTATAATCACATGTCAAGGGTGATGAAGTTAGTTTAAATTCACCATTTATAACGACCCGTGAAGATTCGGGGTAAGATATGTCTTCAGCAACCCATGCTTGCCATAAAAGGTTACTATGCTTGCCGTAAGAAGCGACGACTTACGGGATCGGGTGGTCAGGCTCGCTGACTTGGTTGGAGCATGTCATTGATCCCAATTGCGTTGATCGATGCTCATGATATCAATCACTGGATTGCCTGGTCTATGTAGCGTCTTTGCTCAAAACACAGTGTACTTTTGCTTAAACATTGTTTGATAATGGTAACAACATTCAAAGCCTTATTGAAATTTTCAAAATGAAGGACATTCACAAGTTTGACTCAGTGACGAAAATAGTGTCCGATGCAATTCGCTATTACCATTATATTTTCCCGTTTCTGGTTGAAGTATTGACTTGCCTTTGTATGCATATGTGATGGGTCCCATCATTAGGGGCGGGATGCGCTCACCGTTTTGCGAACACCCAGTATAATCACTCATGCTTATGATAGAGTTGGAATGTTCAATGTATTCTGCTTTTGGCAGAGATATTTGATGATTATGGAAATGGTTTTGTGGCCTATATTTAGATAGCGGCGTGTATGTACGTGTGTGTGGCTGCTAGACCTATTCATGCTTATGCTTGTATTCAAGTGCTTGCCCATTGAGATACGATGCCGTAGTTCAACATGGATACCACACTCAGACACAGTATACTGACTCCAAGCCGACAGGTCCATGTTTCATCCCCTTAATACAGAGCGTCAGATAGGGAAACGACAAGTAAAATATTTTATCTTTGTATGACGCAGCAACGGGATCGAACCATTTCATTTCCGTTACAATTTTGACAACACTTACAAGACAACTGAAAATGCAACAAAATGTTGTCGAGTGTGATGGTAACGTTGTGTGGAAACGTTAAACATTGTCTTGACCCCTAGCTCCTGATGGTCCTGTAGGAGAGTATATATAGTTTAGAACATCAACATAAATAGCAGATATTTCTTATGCTCAAAGAATAGGTTTCGTCGCTTTTATTTCTATGACGTAAGTTGATTTCCTTCCTGTGAGATAAGTGCGTTCCGAAATAAACCACACATCTTGTTGTTTCACTCTGAACCATTTCCACATAATAATGGGTTATTATTTCAAAGGCGTTATTAATACCGCCATACTCATTCATCATTTCTGCTTTGTGGATAGCTAAACGATTTTTATACATGACAGCACAATCCAATTCCGATTTTCCTGTTTGCACTATTCCGATACCAGTTGGAAAGCCATGGTTGATAAAAGTAAACGAAACAGTTTGTGTCAAACAAAATCATTAATTTTCAGGAAATTGGCGTGTAGTTTAATAGACTGTGCCTCAAACGATATGTCTTTTTATTGTCAATGATTTCGTGTAACATTATATTTCCCCTTGACTGCCGAGAACAACACATGTTAATTGACATTTAGTTCTGAATCTGACAGGGGCGGTCGGGTAGCCTAGTGGTTAAAGCGTTCGCTCGTCACGCCGATGACCCGGGTTCGATTCCCGACATGGGTACAATGTGTGAAGCCCATTTCTGGTGTCCCCCGCCGTGATATTGCTGGAATATTGCTAAAAGCGGCGTAAAACCATACTCACTCACTCATTCTGAATCTGCCGGGAAGCCTACTTCTGTAGGGGCGGTCGGGTAGCCAAGTGGTTAAAGCTTTCGCTCGTCACGCCGAAGAGCCTGGTTCGATTCCCGACACGGGTACAATGTGCGAAGCCCATTTCTAGTGTCCCCGTCCGTGATTTTGCTGGAATATTGCTAAAAACGGCGTAAATTCATACTCACTCGCTGAATCCCCTCCGTGGGAGCAGTTTTATTAAAATGTGCTTCTACTCGCCCAACCCATCGCGCAGATCCACAGAGACAAACAAGGGATTAACGAATTATTGTTCATCTACGTTATAAAGAGCTACCAACTACATGCAACAAATATCTGAGTCTCCTCAAGCCATTATGTGCATCTGATCGTGTGTTTGCTGTGTGAATATCGGTCTGTAAACGTTTTCTTTCTATTGTATTTTCTTGAGGTTTTGTATATATATCGAGCGTATTCTGAATTGTGCCATTTTGATGTTATTAGATCGCCAGTTGCAATATTGGCGTTCTCTTGAACAATAGCCATTTTGGTACACACTCGCGAAGATCCGGGTTAGAATAGGTCTTCAGCAACCTCATTCGTGACCAACTCGTGTTATTCCGGGACAAGCCGAATAGCGACTCGTGCCCATCTCATGGCCATTTTTGCGACCGGGTTCCGTCTTAGCGCAAACGGGCATACCTAAAACAATTGTCAACTCGTTACGTAATGGTTCACATGTATATCCCCATATTTCAGATGCAATTTAAAGCACATCGGGACATGCGGAATTATGCAGTATGATTGAACACATTTAACTGTGTCTTGGGTATATTTTTAGATGCAAGACATATGTAAAATCAAAAATTATTTCTGAGGAATTCTTCGACAAATAACTTGAAATCATACGCGCATTCTGATTGGTTTGTCGTATTTTCGCACATAACATTCATCGATAGGGGCACGAGTCTTCTTGCAGGTTACGGAAAGGGGCGAGTGGTGACGAATGCAGCAACCTATGCTTGTCGTAAGAGGCGACTAACGGGATCGGGTGGTCAGGCTCGCTGACTTAGTTGATGCATGCCATCGATCTCAATTGCGTGGATCGATGCTTATGATATTGATCACTGGATTGTCTGGTCCAGACTCGATTAGTTAGCGATCGCCGTCATATAGCTGGAATATTGCTGAGTGCAGCGCTAGACAATAAACAAACAAACAATACCTTCAATACATATATCACAGTGAATTCTGTCAGAAGTCTAATAACTATTCAGTTTATACTCTTGGTACTTGATACATACTTATCAAGCATAGAGGAGCCTTTTGCTTCAGATAAATATTTATTTTATTTTCGATATTAGTTTGGCGCAAAGGAATAGTTTTCGCATGAAAAATTTAGGTTTGTTCGCGATCTATTTTTTTTTGCTGTTTTTAATTCTCTCGCAGTGAAACGACTTGGGATCTTTTTGTGTGATTTGGTTATTCCCTTGATACATAAACACTGACGATGCATATTTGCAAAAATATTCAACGATTGGATGTTTTATGAACATACAGTATCCATCCATATTTTAGGAGAAGATATTATGTCAAGACTATTTAGTGTTGATAGGTTTCTGACGACATAAATATTACGGACAACGGTAACAACAATGTACCATAGAGACAAAGGTAGAAGAGATTGGGTTTAATGTAATGGTTGCAGTCAAATTCCTATAACTGTAAATTTCCCGAATGCGTTGATTTACATTGATGAGATTGTGCGATCACATTTCACTACAGAGAGGGGGT